CTCACATCGCCCAGCTCGCCCCTCGCACCTCGTGCGCGACGCCTCTGCAGCTCCCCGCATGGACCCGGGAACGCGGCAACCGCCGAGCGTGGACGGGGGGTGGACGGGGGTTGGCGCGCCCTGGGCGGAGTGACGACGGAGCGAGCACGGGGGGGGGGGCGAGAGACGGCCTTTGGCTGCCGGCACCGGGATGCAAGAGTACCTCGAGCCCCGTGGAAGGCCCCGGACCCGTAGCCTCGGCAGCCCCCCGCGTGCATCCCGGATCGTGTTGTGGTCCTCCGGGATCGCCGCTAACCGCCGCTGATGTTTGTGAGCCTGTGGAGTGACAAACCGCAGCTGAAGTGCACAGAGGGGGGTCGTGCCCGAAGTGTCAGCAGTCTCCCGCGTGGACCCAGGGTCGCGGCATACCGCCGCACTGGGTTGGGCGAAGACGGAGCACCCATGGACTGACACGCAGGGGGCGGTGTTGTCACCCCGAAACCCGACGCATCCACGGGGGGGGGAACCCCGAGGAGCCGCTGCCGCGGCACCCCTGCACTTCCCTGATCCCCTCTCAAGCTGCTGCTCCTGAAGCTGCTGTAGCTGCTGCAGTTGCAGTTGGTGCTGCTGCGGCTGCTGCTGCAGGCGCTGCTGCTGCTGCAGCTGCTGCTGCCGCTGCTGCTGCTGCTGCCGTTGCGGCTGCTGCTGCTGCTGCGGCTGTTGTTGCTGCTGCCGCCGCTGAACCGCTGCTGCTGCTGCTGCAGGCGCAGCTGCAGCTGCAGCCGCTGCTGCTGCGCGGCCGCCCCGGCTGCCGCACCCGCCGCCGCGGCTGCCGCCGCCGGGGCGCCACCGCCGCCCGCCGCCGCGCGCGCGCCAGCCTCCAGAGGGAGGCGGCGGCGGCGGCGGCAGCCAGGCCTGCGGCGCCACCGCCGCCCGCCGCCGCGCGCGCGCCAGCCCTCGGGGGGGGGCGGCGGCGGCGGCGGCAGCAGCAGCAGCAGCCGGGGGCGGGCCCGGGCAGGCGGCCCGCCGCGGGCGGCGGCAGCCAGGCAGCGGCGCGACCGCCGCCCGCCGCCGCGCGCTCGCCAGCTTCCAGGGGGGAGGCGGCGGCAGCGGCGGCGGCGGCAGCAGCAGCCGGGGGCAGGCCATGCCGGGCGGCCCGCCGCGGGAGCGGCAGCCAGGCCCGCGGCGCCACCGCCGCCCGCCGCCGCGCGCTCGCCAGCTTCCAGGGGGGAGGCGACGGCGGCGGCGGCGGCAGCAGCAGCAGCGGCCAGGGCGGCAGGCCAGGCGGCCGCCGCGGGCGGCGGCAGCCAGGTCTGCGGCGCCACCGCCGCCCGCCGCCGCGCGCGCGCCAGCTCCCGGGGGGGGGGGGGGGCGGCGGCGGCGGCGGCGGCGGCAGCAGCAGCAGCCAGGGGCGGGCCCGGGCAGGCGGCCCGCCGATGGGCGGCGGCAGCGGAGGCCAACGCGGCAGACCAGGCGCGGCGCGGACCTGGACCCGGGGCGTGCGCGAGCCGAGATGGCTTGAGCCAGGCTACGGAAACTGGTGGGGGATACGCGAAGCGTCAAGAATTGTAGACCGAGGGGGCGCAGCAGGCACGACGGAGGGAGGATGGCGGGCCAGGCGAGGGAGAGGGTCGCCAACACAGCCGAAGCACTCCCAGAGCAACCCGGGAGGACAAGAGAGGAAACGGCGGGGCCAAGGGGACCCCGTCCGGGCCCTCCTCCTCCATTATTGGAAAGGAAAAGAAAAAGAAATAGCCATGCCCAAAGACTGAACGCAGAAACGCCAGAGTCGATCTTGGTCGTCGTCCATCTTTGGCGGCGCGCACGAAGGGGTAGGGGACGGGGGGGAGGCTTCTTACATCTAAAGGAAAGGCCCGCGCCTTGTAAAAAGCAGGGGTGCTTCTAAGAAGCCTTCTCCCCCTCCCCAGATCCCCTTCTGCGCGTGGCCGACATCTGGGTCATCGTCAAGCCGTGGATCATCTTCGCGAATCGGCGATGGCTGGAACGGACCATGAAACAGCAGTCGGAAAGCAGGAGCATTCAGAACCAAGCGGAAGGACACTCGCGATATTCACGGAACGGGAATGGACCGGGTTTGGCAAGACGCCGCAAAACATGGTGGATACCTAACAGACAAACCAGCAATATCAGTCGACCAGGGTCGAGCGGAACACAAAAGTCAGAGAGGCGGGACAGATAGAAGCTTGGAGTTCGCCATCAAGCTTAAACGATTGGCGAACACGTGCGTCGAAGAACGATTGTGAAACCCAAAGGCGTCTAAAAATTTGATTGGTCGACTTCTCACACGCGCATGCATTACTACCCGTGACAAGTCCAGCTCTGGCAGTCTGACGCACGACTCCGAAAATCGCCAAGATCGTCAAGAAGTCTTGAGAAACTCACAGGACGATCCACCTCTGTTCCTGGACGGGTTCGACCCTTGCAATACTTTACCCGGGGTGGCGAAGCTCATCACTCATCCTATCAGCGACAATGCCCGATCCCTCGACTCTAACCCCCGCGGACGCACTTCCCCGGGTAGCTAGTGGCACGCACTTTCCTGGGGAACAAGGCTGGCTGAACTCGCACCCTGCAGGAGAAACCAAGAAACTCGGACACCGCCTTGCTGCACAGGGGAGCACCAGAAATCGAATCAGAGGAGAAGACCACCATCGTACATCGAGGAAGGACCTCGAGCAACAATAGAACTAAGCCCTCAAAGAAAGCCCCCCAGGGAGGACCTCGAAACGCCAATGTATGGTTTCACACAGGATACTTCATTTCGATGGGAAGCCTCGACGCATGACACAAACGAGGAACTCCAATCATCGACCACGGCCCTCGGCCCCACTACCACGTAGTCCCAACGCTCACTCGCAGATGCTGGACCTGCCCAGAGCAAACCCGATGAGACACCAGTCCATCACCACCGCCCCAGAAGACGAAATGGAGTCGTCCGGGGACTTAGGCTGCTCGCCTTCTCGGTGGAGGAATCTGGCTCGCCGCTGGCGAACGGTGTGCAGGGCGGCCCTGCACGCAGTCCAGAAGATGCGCCTGCCAGCGGCATCCAATCCCCCACGGTCTGAGACCGCACAATACAGCTAATGACGATCTCAAACCTGTGATGGGGATAGCCCGTTTTTTTGCAGGCGCTCTGGGTGAGCTTTCGGCGACCACTTCGCGTCTTCAGGCTGGCCTGAGTCACAATGACTGTGGCCCTCCCTCACGCCAGCACTCGCGCGCGCAGGAGCAAAGAAGGGAGGGGAAAAGAAAATACTGTCTGACTGCACCGCTCCACTACGAGGAGCCAGCGCCGGACACGAGAAAAGCTGGGACCGGAATTATCCTGGCGAGAGACCCAATCAGATGCAGTGGTGAGTACCACGGTTGTGAGTATCGTCTTCGGTGGAGCTCCCTGTGGGCCCACGACAGGTGTGAAGGGTGTGCAGACATGGGCGCCGCGGTGCCATGCGGGCGCGCCCGATGGGGCCGCGAGACGTGTGAGGGGTGCGCCGAAATGGGTACGGCGGTGCTGTGCGGGCGCTGCCACTGGGGCCTTCGGAAGAGCTCCCTATAGATTCGCGAAACGTGTGAAGGATGTGCCGAAACGGGTGCGGCGGTGCCATGCGGGCGCTGCCACTGAGGCCTTCGGTGAAGTTCTCTGTGGGGCCACGAAACGTGTGAGGGTGCACCGAAGCGGGCGCGGTGGTGCCATGCGAACGGAGCTCCCTATAGATCCGCGAAACGTGTGAAGGATGTGCCGAGACGGGCACGGCGGTGCAATGCGGGCGCTGCCACTGGGACCTTCGGAAGAGCTCCGCATGAAGCCACGACACGTGCGAAGCGTGTGCCGACACGGGCGCGGTGGTGCCATGCGGGCGCTGCCACTGGGGCCTTCGGTGAAGCTCCCTACCAGGGTCACGAAACGTGTAAGGGTGTGCCCTAATGGGCGCGGTGGTGCAATGCGGGCGCTGCCACTGGGGCCTTCGGTGGAGCCCAGTATGGAGCCACGAAGCATGTGGTATGCGTGTGTGCGCCGAAACGGGTGCGGCGGTGCCATGCGGGAGCTGCCACTGGAGCCTTCGGTGGAGCTCTCTGTGGGGCCACGAAACGTTCGAGGGTGCACCGAAATTCTGTGCACGTGGAGGGCAGAGGCAGAGATGAGGGGAGGAGGAAGGGAGGTGAGGAGTGACGCGGGGCGCCGCGTATTTCCAAAACGAGGACCCACCCAACAACACAGGATGGTTTGGAGAAAACAAAACACAATTGTCCCAGTGCGACCCTACCTAGGAGTTGGAGCCCCTAGGAAAGCAGCATTAGTAGTAACAGTAAAGCTAAGCTAAAGCTAAGCTAAAGCTAAGCTGAAGCTAAGCTAAAGCTAAGCTAAAGCTAAGCTAAGGCTAAGCTAACACTAAGATAAAGCTGAGCTAAAGCTAAGCTGAAGCTAAGCTAAAGCTAGGCTAAAGTTGGTATAAAGCTGAGCTAAAGCTAAGCTAAAGCTTGAGCTAAAGCTAAACTGAAGCTAAACTAAAGCTAAGCTAAAGCTAAGCTAAAGCTAAAATAAAGCTAAGCTGAAGTTAAGCGAAAGCTAAGCTAAAGCTAAGCTAAGGCTAAGCTAAAGCTAAGCTGAAGCTGGGCAACAGCTAAGCTAAAGCTAAGCTACAGCTAAGCTAAAGCTAAGCTAAAGCTAAGCTAAAGCTAAGCTAAAGCTAAGCTACAGCTAAGCTCAAGCTAAGCTAAAGCTAAGCTAAAGCTAAGCTAAAGCTAAGCTAAACGCTAAGCGAAAAGATAAGCGAAACGCTAAGCTAAAGCTAAGCTACAGCTAAGCTAAAGCTAAGCTAAAGCTAAAGCTAAAGCTAAAGCTAAAGCTAAAGCTCCCAGGGGACTGGGGGGAACCGCGGGGCGGGGACTGGGGGAACCGCCCGGGGCGTGTAGCACTGCCCGGCCCCTTTAAGCTAGAGAGTAAGAACCCTTCTAAACAGAGCCTAGGTAGGGAAAAAAAACGTACCCCCGCCGAGCACCGAACGCGACGCGTCGCGAGCACCCGCTACTTGAGGCAAAATCTGCGAGGCCACGTGCGTCGCTTCTCGCCCACCCCCCAGCCCCTGCCTTGGCACAATGCCTTGCTGACTCCACGCTTCTGCTCACAGACACTCTCTTCATGTACAACTCTGGATCCTCCTGTTCCTTCTCCCTCTCATTTCACTCCTCCTCCTCCTCCTCCTCCTCCTCCTCCTCCTCCTCCTCTTCCTCCTCCTCCTCCAATGTTGCATGCTGTTTATCCTTGTTATCCTCATTCAGCTCCTCATCCTTCTCAACCTGCTCCTCCCTGCCCTGCTCCTCTGTTCCTCCTCCTGCTTCCTCCTGCGTCATCCTCCTCCTCCGCCCTCCTGTTCTCCTCCTGATCCTGATCCTCCTCCTCCTCCTCCTCCCCTCCTCCTCCTCCTCCTCCTCCTCCTCCTCATCCTGCTCCTCCTCATCCTCCTCCTCCTCCTCCCCTCCTCCTCCTCCTCCTCCTCCTCCTCCTCCTCCTCCTCCTCCTCCTCCTCCTCCGCCTCCTCCTCCTCCTCCTCCTCCTCCTCCCTCACTCCTCACACTAGTAGCCGTCTCCCTCATTTGGGCTGTAGTGATGCGGCAAGCTCGAACTCCACATGAACAGTGCGGGGAGGCCAGGGATAGCAGAAGCACATTCGGGAGAGCAGATCGTACGGACGGTGAGCACCAGAGAGAGCAAGCCGAGGAGGAGAGTCAGAAGAGTGAGTAGAACAGAGAGGAGAGAAGGACGCAAGGCGCTGTTGGGGCAGATGATGCCCACTGGACTGCCACTGCAGTGGCTGCGGCGAGATCCGGGCGCGTGCTTCTTACGCCCTCGCCTGCAGAGATGAACGTTTGAGTCGGCTTCCAGTGGAGCGCGGATGTACCCAGGGCAGGCTGCGGTGCCCATGCGCCAGCAATCGAAATCTGCGAGAGAACGGCAGCACTCCCGCAGCTTCCGGTCCTGGGCGGCCAATGAGGGGCCCCAAGAGGTCCGCGAACGGTCCCCAGGAACGTGCTTAGCAATCCGTCTCGAGATAGCCCAAAGACGCCCGGGGAGGCTCCCCCCAGGAGGCCCCCCCTGGGTGTCTGTCTTCACGGCAGCCCCGAGGGGCCCCCCAAAAGGACCCCAAAAGCACCCCAGCAGGCGGCTTCACATGCGTCCCTCACCTATTCAGGCACACACACCCTGCCACGGCGTGCAACATGTGTGGAGAGGGACACCCCTTGCGCTACACGTAGCTGCGTAAGGCGTGCCGTTCGTTCGCCATCAACTTACATGTGGTTTGTCTTTCGTTTGTGATTAGTTTGCCTTGCGCGTGTCGCTCGGTTGGATTTAGTTCGTGTTTTAGTTGGCTTCAGTTATCGCTAAGTTGCGTTCAATGTGTGATATGTTCACTTGCATGCAGTTGTCAAGCGCGCAGCGGCCACCTCCAGCGGCGTGTGGAGCCACCCAAATAATGGCCGCGCGGTCTCTCAGTGGAGGGAGAGAAATCCGCTGGGCGTGCTGGTCGTCTATGATGGCTGCATTTTCCGATGTGGCGTAGGCCACCCACTTGATCAGGATATTGAAGGCCCTCGTGGCCTCGCGCCATCAGCCTCCGACGTGGGATCCCACCACCACGGATAGTAGCTACGTAGGTGAAGCCACTCTCGGAGCACTGGCGGACTGTCCTGGTGATGGCAATTGAACCTCTGCAGGACGTCCATGGGCCACCCAGCTGAGGCGGCGAGACCGCGATGAGGTCAGCGCGCATCTTGGGGCAACCAAGTCCCTTGCAGCTGCCGCTGCATCGCGCCAGCGGGGCAGGCAGAGGTCGGCCGGGCGATGACCAGCCCTGCCCACCCCGCGAGGACAACGCGAGGAAGAGGAGGAGGAGGACGACGAAGAGGACAGATAAAAGTGTCGGAACAGATGGCGGCAAAGACGGTTCAGGAGGGGCGGAGGGGACAGGTGAGAGAGGCGAGAGGATGGGGGCGGAGGCGGTGGAGGTGACGAGGCGGGGGGGCGGGTAAGGATTGAGCGGGTGAAGCGGATACAAGAGAGTCATGAGAGAGGGAAGTGGGGGGCGGGGAATGGGGGCCAACTATGCGGATCCCGCTGGTGCGCGTGCACGCCATGCAGTGGGCTTGTTGCTCTCGAACAACATCGCCCTAGAAGTCGCAGAGTCGCAAAGGGGACACATGGCAGGAAATGGATGGGGGGAGGGCTGGTCACAGATAGGAGAAGGGAGGATCAGGAGGACGCAGAAGAGACAAGCGAAAAAGATCAGCAGCAGGAGGGCTAGGAGGCAAAGAAAGGAGACGGAGGTACAAACGAGGGAAAGGGCGAGAGGAACTGCTGGCCCGGAATACGTCGACGTCTCACTTACACGTCGGCCGCCGTCCTGCTTGCCCCCAGCTTCCAACGCTGACGACATGCGCCGAGGGCAAGGCCCTCACTAAAGCGGCCGAACTTGAAGCCAGGGCGAGAAAATCGGGCTCCAGACCGCGCAGCATCGCCGATACATCGGCGATGCGGCGCGACCCTCCGAACCCGTCTGCTCCGGCCCAGTTTGGGCGTCATGGACTAACTGGAGCAGGAGGGAAGAAGAGGAGGAGGAAGGACAAGGCCGCACTGCCCCAGCAAGAAAGAAGAGGAGGCACGAAGAGGAAAAGGAAGTAAGGAGAGGAAATACAAAGGAAGCAAAGAAGGAAGGAGGGACCAGGGACCAGCTGGGTCCATCGTTCGCGGCGAAACGAACTATGGCCATGAGGTCGGCCAGGCAAAGGAGCCTGACGGCTAAGCGCAGCAGCCTAGCTTGCATGGACGCCGTGCAAGGCAGTGGCACGGCGGCGGCTCACAGCCGCGGCATGATCAACGCCATGGGGCGGAGCACAGACCATGGAGGGCAGGCGGCCACAGGTCCCGAGGAGGGAGAACCGCGTCACAGAGGCTTGCGGAGGAAGCGCGAGCCACCCTCCAAGCATACCCTGGACGCCAACCCGCCGAGCGAGAGAGCGCCTAGTCTCCGCAAGGTGGGAGGCTCGCGCCCAGCAAGGACAGAGTCGCGGAACCAGGCCTGGCCCGCGGTGGCCTTGCCTTTGCAGGGCAGCAGCAACGAACGGAAGTGCGGGGCGTCGATCGCAGCCCGCGCTCCGCACCTCCTGCACACGAGGTGGGATCCGGCGGCCTTCACCACACGCCCGAGGTGCGAAGAGGTAAGCGGGGGCCGTGGCGGGGCCGTGCCCCCCGCGTCCTCGCAAGCCAATTCGGGGTGCTCCAGCGCGTTGCGAACGGCCTCGCACCGAGCCCCCGGCAAAGCGTGGCCCCGCATGGCCGCACGCACCGTCGAGAGAAAAAGGTGCAGTCGCGTGGGCCTACAGATCGCGCCAGGGTGCTCGAGCTTCGCACGGCTAGCCTTCGCGCGCGCTGAGCAGCGGCACCGAGTACATCTCACTCCCCCGCCACCCCGCTCAGACTCCACCTCCTCCAGGTCGTGAGCAAGCAGGCTCAGCCGGGGCGGGGTCGGTCCCCGCGGCCTAGTGCGGGCTGCGACCTCTGGCGCGCTGGCGGCGCCAAGCTGCGCAGCACGACTGACGAAGTCGATTGACTTCATCGCGCCCTGGAACTGCGCTCGCACACTGGAGGCGGTCACCTCCGACAGCTCGTGGGTTGCCGCCCCAATCCGCACGAAGCAATCGGCCCAAGCGTTTCCCTGAAAATCAAAAACCTTCCGGGGCCCATCGACCCCCAGGCTCGCCTGGTCGTCGAGGACCTGATCGAGGTCCCCGCGGGCAGGGGCCCATGGGAAACGGGGCCGCTCGGCGCGCCCTTCGCACAAACAAAAAATTGCCCGCCAGGTCGCGACATGCTTGCCCGATCCTGCAGACAGAAGGCTGCTCCACTCGCCCCCCTCCCGCACCGCGGACAAGAGATCCGAAACGACGACAGGGCCCCAGTGAGCAACGCGCAACGCTTGGAGGACCGCCTCTCTCTCTCTCTCTCTCTCGCTCTCTCTCTCTCTCTCTCTCTCTCTCTCTCTCTCTCTCTCTCTGCTCACGGGACGGTCTGGCGACTGTCTGCCAAAGGACCGCATCGCTCGCGGATGGGCCACCCTCCCAGTGAGATCTCTACAACCGACCAGCCGCATCTAGCCAACTCTGGGAAGCTACTGTGGAGGCCCGAGCCATCTGTGTAGACACGGCACCCCCACTCTCTGCGCCTAGCTTCCCGTTCGAAAAAATCGCAGCGCTGGGGACAGGCGCCATGACAGTCGACCGAAAGGGAAGGCCGTACACCAACTCAACCGAATCGAAGCCGGGGGATGCCCAAAGGCCTTCCCTTTCAACCACTTGCGGTGCTTCAGGCAGTCGTCTGGCATAGGCGGGGATGCCCGTGGGCCCTCGTCCGCAGCCCACGGGGCCTCGCAATCATAAAACTGATGCCCAAAGGTGCCAAGCGCCGACCTGCAAAATCGCATAGCGGGGAGTCCGCGCAGCCGTGCGGATGCTTTTTTGCTGGGGGCGACAGCGCTCCACCCAGCAACGCACGGCACGCCGGTCTCTTGACTGGATCGCGGATCTCCACAACCCCGACCCGCAGCGCTCGGCACCAGATAGTTTCGGAGCCCGGCGCCCCGGGCAGGCTGGTGACAGGATGCACGCACTGCGCACGGTTGATGCCTTCGCGCAGAAGCTGACGCACATCGCTGGGGCACGCGGTAGAAAGACAGATAACGACTCCCTGGTCAGTCTGAATGCGGCACGGCCCTATGAGGGCCCAGCCCGCACGCCGAATGGAAAGCCGCACAGCCCCCACGGGCCCACGGACGCGCGACCAGCAAGGTCGCTCCCATAAAGCTTTGTTTGCAGACTCCCAGGCTTCACGTAGATCGGCATCCGAGACCCTTCGACCCCAGACCCAGCAACAACATCGCTGCACAAGCGGGATCGTCGCCATCGGCAACTTGGTCAAACGACGCGCCTCGGTGCGCGCATAGATCTGCAGCGACGTGCGCGCGGCCCTTGGCCCCAAACATGCTCGCTGCA